CGAAACTGAATATAACTATTCACTACCGGAATTCGAATTCGGCTCGTCGATTTCTCATTCTGAGTCTCTAACCATTGCCCTAACCGTTTAATTAGTTAATTACCAGGATTAAGGTAAACTTTGGAAAATAGTATTGATTTATCCAACATTTTTATCACGTAACTCACGGGATCTGTTTTGAGTTGTCAATATGCCTCGATGAAATATCGAAGAAAGCTGCATCAAAGTTACGTTTTCACCAACAAAATATAATTTTGATTATCATCATCAGTAATACTGTGTATGTGTGCATGCGTTTGTATATGTGCGTGTGTGTGTGTGCATGTGTTCTTGTCTGTATGTGCTTATGAATATATCTGTATATCTCTTTTTATGTAAGCACTTGTGTGTGTGTGTGTGTGTGTGCGCACGCGTTTTTATATGTGTGGAAATTTGCAAACGGCATGCTGTACTGCTTGGCATTCGTGCCGGAAGTTCAAATACGAACATTTCAGAGTTTTTGGGTGTCACTCAGTGCAGAGGATTCGGAAAAAGTTGGAGGCGTCTAAAGATAATTACTGAGGTATGGCATCAAAGATCAAAGTGAAAAAAGAACTCCATGATTTCTTGGTTAGGGCCTCAGACTCAATACGAAGGCCTATATCAAATGCCTTGAGGAGATGGTGCTGTTATGGGTCAAGAGGGTGGCTGTTGGATATCCTATGACTGGTAAGACAAGCAGGAGAACCCAGTCATGGCTGTCAGACAATTTCTGCGACCACATCACTCCTTACACCTAACCTTACATCTGGCCAGACTGCAACCCTCTGGATTATTATGTGTGAGGAACAGTTGAACGAGAAACCAACAAAACTCCTTATGACACTGATAAACTGAAGGCAAGGATTATGGCAGCATTCACCAACTTAAACAAGGAGACTGTGCAGAAGAGTTGTAGGAGATTCCGAAGTCGTCTGGAGATCGTAGTTGAAGCCAATGTCGATTTTATTAAATAAATTTACTTTTTGGCATTTCAAGATAAATTTAGTGTAATTTTGGTAAATAAATCTGTTAAAATGAGATGGCAGTGTTATTTTTATTTTTACGTAATTCAGGCAGCAATTTATCCATCGCACCCCGATATAGCCGCATAGTCAAGTCACTGTATGAGTTATAATGTTTCTATGTAACCCAGCACGACTAATCTAGTTCCCCACCAGCCTTTATTATATATGTATATGTGTATGTATGTATATGTGTATGTATGTATATATGTATGTATGTATATATGTATGTATGTATATGTGTATGTATGTATATGTGTATGTATGTTGACATGTATGTTTGTACGTATGTGTGTATTCATGTATTAGGTTGGTGCAAAAGTAATGACGTAATAATGTCGTTTTTTGAAGTTAAAAAATACGTTAAAAAACGACATGATTACGTCATTATTTTTGCACCAACCTAATATGTATCACGGGTGGACCCAAGCCTTGTGAGTGAAATTGGGTAGACGATCGCTAGCACGCACAAAGTCGCAAGTCATCGTGGCCGAGAGCTTGAGCGTGCTGGCCTTGTCCAAATTGTTGATTACACTAGATAACATGCTTTCTCCCAGAAACTGTAACTAAGGTCTGCTCAGCATAGTTGCAGTATAAACCACAGGTGAGCTCTGTGGGTGTTGAGCAAATACAAAATGTGTCTGTGCGAGCGTCTGCAATAGGGATTGGCTAGCCGCCCTAGTAGACGGGTATCCTCGAATATGAGTAGCCAGCTATTATGCATGTATGTATGTATGTTTTTATGTATGTATGTTTATATGTTAATACGTATGTATGTTGTATGTATGTTGTATGTATGTTTGTATGTATGTGCGGGTGGTTAGCGGCTCTGAATGAGAAAATGGCAAGAGGAATTCGAATTTCAGTCGATTCACTTTGACAAAATTATGAATACCCCCAGCTATGGGTTAAATAAAAGGGCAGACTGAGCTCTTCCACCGAGGAGAAAGAGAAAAGTCTGAATTCCCAATTCTGGTTGGACGGACAACTTGTCAGCGATGGTCATACTCATGTAACTAGTTGACCGCCATTATGCGTGTACGCATGCATACTGATGTCTCTGTGTGAAGAACGCATGTATGTGTGTGTGTGTGTGCTGTGACGTGCATGAGTACGCGTGCGTAAATGTTTTCAAGTATGTGTATGTGTTCATATGCGTATATGTGTCTATATGAGTGTGAACAACTGCGCCTATGTGCATGCGTGTATGCACATACTTATGCGTGTATGGGGCACCTCGACATGGTGTAATGGTTAGTAAGCTGGTCTTTCTACAACAATTATGGCTGAGTTGTGAGTTCGATCCTCGCTGGGCGCCTCATACTTTCGTCTAGGTGCCACATCTAAGCTACGCTTAGAAAACCAGTTTTGGGCACCTTTACATAGTGTAATGGTTAACAAGCGTGTCCCGCTAGATCAATTACGACTGTATAGTGAGTTCGATCCTCACTGTGTGCCCCACATTTTCTGTCTTGTGCCACATCTGAGCTATGCTTAGAAAACCGCCAGTAGGCACTTCGACGGGGTGTAATTGTTAACGAGTTTGTCTTGCTAAATCAATAACGACTGAGTAGTTAGTTCGATCCTCACTGGGTGCCCCCATATTTTCTGCCTTGTGATACATCTAGGCTATGCTTAGAAAATCATCATACATATGGGCCGATTTTTTTTTTTTTAGCGGCATATCAACACATCTGTTGGTTATTTAAAGACGAAATCTAAACATTTTTTGTACACAATTTTATTTTATTTTTGGAGATAATAATGATTTAATAACTCAAGTCTTACTAATTAACCCATAGCTGGGGGAAGAAGAGGTGGATTCATACCTTTCTCAAGAGTATTTGCGCAGAAGTGAATATAGTGAACCCGACTGGAATTGGAACTCGGCTCTCCGATTAACAATTCCGAGCCATTATCCATTACACTACCCGCACATCCAAGCTGGTATTACCAAGCGGTTACCCATCTGGGTACTGGCCACGCTCGACGTTGCTTAACTTCGATGAGTAAATGGGTCCGTATATGTGTATTTGTGTGCACGTGTATGTAGCATATCATCTTAACAGAAATATCGTTTAATCAATGGGGGAAAAAAACATAACGGAAGGATTTTAATAAATGCGCCTGGAGAGCCAAATAAAATACTTGTTGCCAACAACACAAGAGCGAGAGAGAGAGAGAGAGAGAGAGAGAGAGAGACAGACAGAGAGAGAGAAAGAAAGGGAAAGAGATAGAGAGAAGAAGAGAGAAAGACAAAGAAAGAGAGAGAGAGATAAACATGGTGGTATCGGCGGCAGATGTATAGAGGCTTGGGTGAGGTGGAAAGTCGTGGCGGTGAGGGTATTAATGGAAGAGGAATAAGCGAAAAAAAAAAAGCCAGAAATTCTTTGGCTGGAGGATACAATGTCAGTCGAGAGTAGGACATTAGTAATCAAAACCTCTAAATATGGATGTTGCTGTTTTCGTGTCTGGAACGGAAGAAGAGGGGCGGAGATTGGTTGGCACATATCAAAGCCTCATTCTCTACTCACTAACTCATTCTCTGTTTTGACTTTTTTCCCCATATTCACACTCATTTCTTCACTCATTATGGGTTCCCCCCTCTGTAAGTTTTTGAAAAAATAATTCAGCACCTTCCTCGGTATTTTTCTAGTTTTACGATATGCCCTGAGACCGGACATAACAATTTTTTTCAATTTCTCAAGCCGGGTAAAATAATCTCTCAAAGGGTATATGGAAACAAAAAGGAAACTTATTCTTCGAATCAGAAAGAGACAGTTGAAGTATATCGGGTACATAATGAAGAAAGTGGGCTGGGGGAATTTACCACTCTCAGGACATGTTAAGTAACAGCGATAACTGTAAATAAGGTCTGCTCAGCATAGTTGCAGTATAAACCACAGGTGGGCTCTGTGGGTGTTGAGCTTTCACAAATGTGCCTGAGAGAGCGTCTGAATTAGGGATTGGCTCGCCGCCCTAGTAGACGGGTAATACCAGCTTGGATGTGGATAATGGCTTGGAATTGTTAATCGGAGAGCCGAGTTCCAATTCCAGTCGGGTTCACTATATTCACTTCCGCGCAAATACTCTTGGGAAAGGTATAAATCCACCTCTTCTTCCCCCAGCTATGGGTTCACATAAGCAGCGTAAAATGATTTGTCAAAGTGCTCCTTCACTTAAACGATGTAAAATTAACCATCATTTTATATCTTGAAGTGTTTTAATTTTATAAATGTTCTTTGCTGAAAATAATCACCGTGAGTAATGGCGACCTGGCCACTGGGTATTCAGTGGTATCGAGCGGGGTTCGGGGAAGTGTTTCTTACTTTCTTTCTCGGATCGGCGAATAGAGACGTTGAACGAGGCGATTGTGCAATATATTCAGCCTGGAAGCCATATTGTTTCATTTTAGATTGATGGACTGGGATCGAGGAAATCAACCACGGGATATAACGTCGTTAATCATCAACAGCAATTTATGGATACTGATGATGACACCACCCATACTCGAAACGTGGAAAATCGTTGGATACGCGTCAAACCTATGCTGCGTCGATAGTTTGGAACTCTCTCAGGCGTTGTTGACGTTGATTCTTCACGATTTCGTGTGGCGTCGGCCGTAAAAGAACAGTCCCGTATTTTCAGCATTTATTGGCAGCGTAGCCTACCATTATTCGTTGTAGTTGATTGATCTATTAATTTTTTACAGCTTATCAACCCTTTGCAGGTTATTTAAAGCCAGGAAATATTTTTAAATTGTAATAATTTTTTGGGTGATGTTTACTGATAAAAGTCTTACTAATTAACTTATAGCTGAGAAAGAAGAGATGGATTGATACATTTTCCAAGGATATTGGTGCTAAAGTGACTATAACGAAGCCAATGGGAATTGAAATTCGGCTCTCTGATTAACACTTTCGAGCCATTATCCATTAAACCACCTGCACATCCAAGCTTACAGCAAATGGTATTCTCAAACGGTCACCCACCTAGGTACTGACCAGACTCGATGTTGCTTAACTTTGATGATCGTAAGAGAACCGGTGTTTCAACGTGGTGTGGTCGTAAGCCACAGGCAGCGCCAGCTCAAGATAATGGCAACTCGGGTTATCCTACATTTTCAGTTTTTCTTCTTGTGAAAATTAAAAAATATATATACTTTTAAGCGTGTCAAAGTTCAGCTTGCCCGGGGTGCCACAACCCTAGGACCAGCCATGGCCACAGGCACATCTACATCGGATAAAATCCATCATTTGTACCATCCATCAGGACCACCGAGTATCAACCAATATTCGCCCGTGAAAATTACTTTACTTCGTTTATCTTTCTTGACTCCCTCTGTTCCAGCGCGTTCAAAGATCTGAGCTTTAGTCAAAAGAGGTTGTTTCGCTATGATTCGATTTAGTTTATATATTGCCCGGGGAGACAGGTTCTTGAAGCTTTTTCCTTTGTTTCTCTTTCTCAACTTAGTTATAATTTCAACAGCCCTCTTTATCGTTCGATGATTTCAGCGAAGCTCCTTTGATATCGCCAATGTGGACATTTCCTAACTCAATAACTTTGTTATTTTCTGTTTTTCAGGAATTGTTAGATCCTTTCTATTACCCGTGCTTTAATATATATTATGAAAAAAAAAAAAAAAGGAAAAAATAGCTTTTATTATATTTTTTAGGCTTTAAACTAATATTAATATAATCTGCATAAAAACATTAAAATGCAGTTGTTATAATAAATCCACTAACTTTAATAAAACAGGATAAAATTACCTACAAATTAAACTCAAGCTTTGTTCAAATTACTCCTTTAAAATTTGGTATGGCTTTTTAAAGCGAATTCAAGTTATTGAGCTTTATCTGATTTGTAGAACTTCAGACGTACTGGAATTGATAGTTATGTTGAGTGTCTATTAAGGATAAGAGAAAGGATTTATTCTTTAACACAAGACACGAAATGCCGTAAATTTAAGTAGACCCTCCTCACTGCGAAGATTGATATAACACAAACCTCATTTTGTCGCTCTCCATAAATCTTTACTTTCATGTCAGTAAATTTAGTCAATGTTCATAGACATAATTATTTGATACGAGGTTAGGTAAATATTTGTCGTTTATATTTGAGTCTTCAAGCGTTTACTTGATACTCTCAAATAGAAGTGTTTTAATTTTAAACTTCTGAATTGAAATAAGTAAATGGCGTAAATAGAAATACTGAGGTCTATACACTCAAATAGACAATTTGATCATCCCCTGAACTGAAATAATTAAAGGGCATGAATAAAAATACGTTGATCATTTAAAAATGACGATTTGATCTCCTGAATCGAAATCATTAAAGGGTGTGAATAGGAATACTGAGGTTGATCCTCTCAAATAGACAGTTTGATCTTTCGAATTGAAATCATTAAATGGTCGACCTCTCAAGAAGACAATTTGATCTTCTCTTGAATTGAAATAATTAAATGGCGTGAATAAGAATACTGAGGTTGATCATCTCAAATTCACGATTTGATCATCCCTTGAGTTGAAATCATTTCATAGGAATACTAAGGCTGGCAATCTGAAACTGACGATTTGATCTTGAGTTTAAGTCATTAAATGGCTTGAATAGAAACACTGAAGTTGATCTTCTCAAATAGACAGTTTGATCTTTACTTCTCGATGTCATTAAATACAGTGAAAATGAATTCCGAGATTGATCCTCTCAAACTGACGATTTAACTACAGCCAATAGAAATGCTATACATATGTTAATATATATATATATATATATGTGTGTGTGTGTGTGTGTGTGGATATATACTTTCAATGTAGTGTTTTGTTCTCTTGAACTTGTTAACGCCTATGAATAGGAATGCTAAGGAAAATTCTTCCAAACTATCGATTTATTATTCTCTTTAGTCATTAACTCCAATGAATAGAATTGTTGCCTGAGTTCCTCACAACGATTTCATTTCCTCATGAAATCCTTTTATTCGTGCTCTGTAATAGGAATGTGTAATGTTTATTCGCGCGAACAGTCCAATCGGTATGACAAATTCAAATTTACATTATAATAGACCTTTCTACCTGTGACATTTGCAAAAATTCAGGATCATTGGCAATCATTTTCTTATTGATTTTCAATGTATGTCTACAATTAAATGGTTGCCAATGCATTTACGATATTCATATAACAGCCCTATCTGTCATACTTGCATCATTTCCAAACCAGTGGCAATCATTTTCGACCATTTTCCAACATGTTTTATGATGAAATCAATGACTAAAAGGTTACGTTGTTTATTTAATAGTGTATTTCGTCATTAACTTGTTTTTATTTTTTTTTTTTACTTCCTAAACTGTTATATACCGTACCTATGGACACTAATGGGTATATCTCAATCCTCATAAATACGTTTGTAAGTGGAGGTAATATGCTGTCGAAGTAGTCTACCACTAGCAGTGGTTTACCTATTTCACGGCGCTGGCGAGTATTGTATTTTATTGACGTTATTACCATTTCATCTCCAGTCTCCGTTTTGGTTATTCCTCATTCTGTAACCCTTTCTAAGTTACAACTTAAACCATCATAATTTCCATTTCACCTACTTTTTGTAATCATTTAACACCAAGCGAGGCAAAAGGCCACTAACACGCTGAATGTGAAAAAAATATAAGAAAAAACATCTTTAATGAGAGAGAACAATAAATGAACAGGAATTAAGAAGACAGAAAATAACGATTGATATTGCATTTTAATTTTTGAAGATCAAAATTGACTGTGAAGCAAAAACTCAGGAAGTGATCCACAAGCGAGAAGTGCAAGAGAAGAAACTGTTAGCATAGAACTTACGGTTACATCTAGCCATTCCAACTGTAAAATGATGAGATCCTGTCTCCAATCTAGTACTGCGCTTAAATTTATAGAATATAGGTACCATAAAGGAGAGATTATCAGAACAAATACCATGAAAGTATTTATAGAAAAGGCACAGGGAAGCTACATTAGGTGGAAAAGAGGCTGAAGCCGATATACTAGGACAGGACCAATAAAATTGCAGATTATTTACATTATTTATATTATTCGGACTGTTATCCTCATTTTCATTGCCATATTCATAACATTGTACGCTCAGGCCTTCTTCAGGCGATTGGAATTTCGAACCGAACCCTTTATTTCGTCCTCCGACCAATTTAGTACCAGGCTACAACAGTGGTGAACCAAAAGACATGAAGAATTCAATTAAAGGGAAATAGCTGAATAACACCCGGAAGAGGTATAGCATGTGGAACTAGAACAATCTACCCCGGTGGACGAAATAAAGAGTTTGGTTCAAAATTCGGCCCGGATCTACCATCAATTCTAACCGTGTCTGTATATACAAGCCTGTTAACGGAAATTTCTAACAACCATTCAAGTGCCACTTGTTCCAATATAATTTCCTTTATATATCTACTATTTTCTTACCTTTTGGTCAAGTGGGTGGCTGTTTTGAATACCTCATTTCATAGCCTTTATTGCTGGTCATAAAAACACTTAAGACTAAAATAAAATAATTTACAATTCTCTCCTATGTGAGTGACCCATCACAAACGAGTCCCATCATGTCACACTGCATGTAGCATGTGCATTCAGGACAAAAGTGTAAAAAGGAAGAAGTTTCCTCGATTTAGAAAAGGCGTAAAAAGGTGTAAAAAGGTGTAAAAAGTTTCCTCGATTTAGAAAAGGCGGGAAATATGCAATTACTTAAGTTTCCAAGCAAAACATAAATACTCATTTGGTAAATCGACTAGGTTAAAATAAGAACCTTGGATCGAATAATATATTCCGAGTGGGAAAAAAAAACAGACTCCATGACAGTTGCATGTAATATGGTGGTGATGACATTTTTACCAGCCAAGTACGAATGTCCAGATGGTGTAATGGATAGCGGCTTGGAGTGAGAAATCGGAGAGCCGAGTTCGAATTCAGTCGGTTTGGTTACATTCATTTATGCGAAAATACACTTTGGAAAGGTACGAATCCATCTTCTCTCCCAAACTATGGCTTAAATAGTAAGATTTATATCTAGAAAAATCATTGCATTTCGTAACAGATAAAAATTGTTAATGCAATATTCATTAGCAAAAAGATGAAAAATCTTACAGTCCAAAATATGTTTCGGTTTTAAATAAACCACAAAGGGTTGATAAACCGTAGAAAACAAGCCAATCAGTGTCAACCAAGTATAAATATTTCTTGAAAACAAATAAATAAAAGAAAGAAATCAATTCCTTTAACCTTGCTTTTTGGTTTTCTCTTTATCAGGTAATTTAAGATATTGCGAAGGAAAGTGAACAGCGAATAAGAAGTGAACGTTGTTAGAACGATCGGATGATTGAGTTTGTTAATAAACTTGAGCCGTTTCTCTCGGCATGGCTAACGACATTACGTAAAAGTGTGTAAGTACGCATGCGCGCACTTTCAATGAAAGTGTGTTCGTTCGCGTGAGTTCCATTCGAAATGAGAGGAAACGTGACAAGATGGCCGAAGTTTCATAAAAGAGAACGAAAAGCAGAGATAATATTTGCATGCAATCGAAACACCGGCCATGTTGCATGGATGTGAGCTACACTTCATATTAAATCAATTCCGATGAGGGAAATGCAATTCTCCTGCCACCAGCAGTAAACGAACGGTGTTCAATTGTCGATATTAAAATAACAACAATAATAAAAAGAAAAAAAAAATTAAAGGTAAAAGAAAAAGAAATTGTAAGCGGGATTTCTTGAAATGGAATTTTTGAAATAATTTATTTGCGCGAGGAGATAATTACTATTCATTTTTGCTTGAAGATAAATATATTCAAATGATCCTCACTGAAAAGTAATAACTCCTGAAAATTACACGATTGCAGCAAAACTGGATCTGGGAAGGCATTAATTTAATTTTAATTTGGAAACAGAGGAAAATAATTTTATCTTTTCGTGCAAAGTAATTCTTTCTTAACTCATTTTGTGTTTAAAATTTAAAATAATGGAATATCCATCACAAGAGAAAAAAGAAAGTAACTTTTGTGACGATTAACCGTTACGAAATGAGTACTGAAC